CAATTTTTTGTTACCTTCCACGAAGAAGTGCTCCGCAATGATTACAACTTGACAGCAAAGGGATAAGGGTAAAAGCTGTATAATATATTACCATGGTGAAACACTTCATTCATGCATCTTGTGAGCATGTAGGCACCATTTGTCCATCTGAACCTAAACTTCATTGCCAAATAGCTATGGCATCACCTTACTATCGATATTGCGAATTAACTGTACCCATTGAAAATATGGTCCATTGGCACATGTACAACAGCATAAATTTATTAATATTGCTTGAAAGAATATAAACTACATAATGTTGAAAAGGGGATTTAAAAAGATAATAATGATATTTAGATAAACAAACGTAGAATTTATGAATTACAAAACCTGAGCACTTCTGTAGCAACACCAAGGCAGAAAAGACAAATCAATCAAGTTTAGTAAAACAACAAATGTGTTAGCCGAAAGGTCATTTACAAAGAAACATATCCCATGGCAAGAAGGAACAGCATTTCTATGAACATTCATCCTGTCTGAATGACAAAGACACTTATAATATACATATGTATATCATTAATTGGATACACTGAGCATAACTGTGGAATAACATTTAGAGGATAAAGACCCCTGGGGCATTACGCTGATTTCATTATTAGAAAATCACAAAAACAATGGATGACGGATCATGGACCCATAACATAGACCTATTTGGAGGCCTGGGACACTCAGTAACTAGCATACTAGTAACAAATAAATACAATAGTTGTCAATAGGTCAGTACTTTGAAAGTGTATTAATCAATGGGCTGGTTATTATTTGAATGATAATTGGTGTTACAGTATTAGTGTCATTAACTGACATTCATTCAGATCAAGGCTAACGTATTCTGTACACGGTTTCGTCCAAGCACTGTTGCATTACATGGTATTTCCCTTCACTTTTGTTAGGAAGTTGCTTCCTACAGGATGTCTGACAGAAAGTATTTTTTGGAATAAAGAACAATGATAATCATCTGTTCTGTCTTTATACAGTGAATGCCTCATACACTGAAACAACATTTCGTAAGCTCAACATTGCGGACAATTATGCAAATACAGATCATATTTTAACTTGTTATCCTCCATACTGATCTAGCGGAATGCAATGTGGATCATGTTGACGTAAATACACTTTAACATACTTCTTTTCCTTTTCAATAAGACTACAAATTGTTGCCATGACTATTAACTATCGTATGCCTCTAGGGCAAAATATAACAGTACCTCTTACTGCGATAGCTTTCTGAATGCTTATTACGTAGATTCTAATGAGATGTACCATATTTAACCGTACCACGCCAGTCTCATATATTTAGTAGGTTAAGGCTTTATATGAATACAAACTGAAGAATATAGATTTTAAAGTTCACATGAAGAGATGGGAACGTTAAGTGTCGCTATATATCATCCCATAATAACAAATGTACTTTACATTTTATTTTTAAAGGATAAAAGTAAACATAGCGTATTTTCAATGGAACTATAATAAGTTTACATTCAGCAACGATTCATCGACATATATTTCTGTCATTTTACAATATGAGAACATATCTGTCCGTATAGCAACTATAAACAAATATGGATTGTGGTTTCGACTTGGCATGATTTAACATTCTAAGGTGTTTATTCAACGCATGTGCATTTGTCTTTGCGTCATTGTAATGAACTGCGTCCTGGTCCGCAACAGTTGTACAAACTGAACTGGCTGGAGCCTTTATTGATCTGTGGGACAGAATACATACTAAGCCTTCAAGGAACAGGTGCTTAGATGAAATGCGTACCACGTGGTTAATTGTCGTATTTGCATTAGTTAGCATGTATTTGCATAACGGAACTGTGACTGCTGTAATCAACATACCATACTATCCAATTATGCATTGTGTTTAAGACGTAAGGGACATTGATAACGGCTATTACTCTATATGTCAAGCTGAATACATATGTGTTTTAGTCAATTAGCTTTGTTTTCTGGACGCATGAAGAGAGTAAACTAACATAGTTTAAACGTCAAAATGTTAAAAATATAACCAGTTATTTCCACCAATGTGGTGAACAATGGGTTACATTGTTCGATGGTCAACAACAATAACACGTTTAAAGCATCTGTTGTTGAAACGTTTTAAGTAACATGTAATTTAAACTTTTTGTGATTTTGACTCTAATTGGTCAGTTATATGTTTCATCATCTGATTGAAATAGGATATTTGGCGACCGCATCACCGCGAAAGCAATATTTATTAGAAATGTACATCTGTCTCAAGCATGGTCGGTAGGCAATTCAAATTCGGAAAATTTACGTACCTCTGATATTCATTTGATTTAATATTGCTTGAAGTATGTATCTTCGGAAAGTTATCATTGCATTACGACTTTTGGCATGAAAGACGAGACACCATCATTTGCATCTGCTGAAGACAATATACACTGCACGTACATAACAAATTGAGCATGTTAGTAACAGGAAGAACCATTAATATTTTAATAAATTTGAAGTTAACATGTGATATTGTCCAACATTCCTGTTTACCATTACCGTTCACTTAATAATGAAGTTAAGGTGTTTCTCTTTAAAATATATGTACTGTCAACGAGTTCAAATAAAGAATAAACAAACTGTGTGTCACTTTTTCACTATAAAGGCATGTGTAAGTATGAACTTTTAGAATAAAGGTTAAATATTGACATGACAATCGCAATCCCCTTTGACATTTTTCTTACATTCATTTGATGTATCACTTTATGACAGGCGCGACAGATCTGTCACATACGCCTTATTGTACACGTTGAAGGCTGGAGAACAATAACACACGTTTCTGTCATCAACATATTTTACTAATTTATCTTCAACTTTTTTATCTGTCATCAACATATTTTACTACTTTATCGTCATTTTTTACGTATAATATCTAAACGTAGGAGTAGGAATTATAGTCTCCGTGCAAATAACACTACGTCAAATTAAGTATCAGTTGAAATCTTAAAAGAATAAAAATACTTTTCGTCTGTTATCAAGACCAACATCAAATAAAAATTCCCAACCAAATTGAGCCGTACGTGTAATCCCTTTTACTGAGACATAATTTCCATTCTATAACATGCCACCAAAATGTCAAGGATTCCCATCAGCGCATTCTGTAGTTAAATAACCCCGTGCAAGAACGAAGATCACATTGACCCGAACCAATACTTTCTTAACCCTACTAATACGGTGGAGCTCAGTACCATTGGCGCCAGTGGATTACACGACATGATAGATTCCTCTGCTCGTGTTTTAACATACTGCGAATTTAAGACCATGTGCAGCCATTTGTTCATGATTGATCTGAGTGAAGACAAAATAAAAGACCCGCATATGTTGGTACATTTGACCAACATATGTTGACAATATGATTGTAAATACTGCCGTTATTAAACATTGCTATGATAACCATTATCAGAAACTTTAGACTCAATGGCTGTGCTGCAATGTTAATTTCTGAATTCGAAATCCAGAAAGTTTCTGGAATTTTCACTTCGTTCGAAACTTTTCTTGGTAAGTATCATATCCCATATTTGAGAAACGGTACGTACGTTATGGCAAGTATAAACATCTTTACATTAAGCGTGTGATAAATACTGTATCTTATTGATTTCATTGTTTTTGTTCGCATTTTGCTACCAAGGCGCGTCATAAGGACGTCATAATGACGTCATAGTTGTTCAGACTGACCTCATGTTTTTATCACAATGGTTTGAGTACACGTAAAAAGACAATGAACTTTGTTGTATAAACAATCTCGAGAGTATAGGATACACAATATCACTCACAAATCCGAAAATACATATATTAATGTTTACCTTCTAATTGACATCAGGGGAAATAAATGATTGGCGTTTAATTCTATCGAAAAACACAGAGTACATTTTTAAGAAGCTTTTATGAACGATGAGCAGTAAGTTCTGATAGTTGATTGATTTTTGAACGGTGATGTTGAGCAACCTAATCGATAACGTACATAACGTACACAACATACACAACGTACACAACATATGCAATCACAAAAGCTGATTGATAGGTGTGTGTTTCATTGATTCACAATCAATATTGTCTATATACATTTAAAAAAACTTGTACATACTCAAAATATATATTATCTATTAAGTACTGTGAATAGTATATACATCAAATTACATATTTAGGCCATCACTGTCCAGTCATAAAACACTTCAACAAAATGAGTGCAAAATATATGGCCATTGAAATTTCAAAAGGTATTTCACCGTTGAGTGAGTGAGTATGGTTTACGCCGCTTTCACCAATATTCCAGCAATACCACGGCGGGGGACACCGGAAATAGGCTTCACATATTGTACCCATGTGGGGAATCGAACCCGGGTCTACGGTGTGACGAGCCAACGCCTTTACCACTAGCTACCCAGCCGCCCAACATATACATTCGTGAAGATGACTTGTGGATCTATTGTTTGACATGCTGGCAAAACAAAACAAATGTCCCTGACAGGTGATCAATCAGCTTATTGTCGTAATGTCGTTATGGTTCATAACACAAACATGTATGCATCGTGAGACAAATAGAACATGGTGGAAAAACTGTATCTTACAACTGACAGCATTTTAGAAACAGTTCAGGGTGGTCTGGGTGGTTAAAACTTACAACCGCTGCCTGGATATGACAATGGTATACTAGTATCTCACCATTATATATTTCTTGTTAAAAATAGTTCCCTCCTCAAATAGATTGAGTTACCAAATATCTAAAGATATTATATTATTATTTGGTTATCAATGATTATTTTTTATATGGCTAAGTATTACCAATTTTTAACCTGAGATATACAAACATGGTAGGCCGGTATTTCATAAAATAAATATATGTACAAAAAAGCCTCTTAAGTTAACACAATTGGTCACATATCATTTGTCAAGTGTTTGTCGTTCAAACAGATCTCATTACGCCTGCCGTGGTTAAAGTGATCGACAGAAGAGAAATATATTGTAGCACTTTTGTAATACACAAATCCGTGTGTAATTGTGTAACATAATGTGTATGGTAAACACCAGTGCTGCTACAAGTCATTCCAAACGCAATACCTTTCGTTCTCGTTATTTCACTGAGCTGTTAGTACAAATCAATAATCACAGCTGACCGGACCACGCACGGGTAGGACTTTATTCCTCTCAAATATCAGTCGCGCCACGTGTGACATTAACGTCAATAGTTCTTGTGGTCGTGTGGCGATGAACCATGTGCGGAGCCATACGGAGATACATCGCATACACTTTGGACATTAAGCATATTCACTTTGGACAGTTGGAGTATCATCATGCTTATCGTTGAAGTTTTCGGGTTGAAAAGTTACACAATGAAATATCTCAGAATCCTTTGATAGACATAGACTGAAGGTTCTTGAAATATGGTATTAAATACTTCAAAGAGGATTCATCGATATCACGACGTATATTGTACTATTGATCGTATCGTCAAGCCAGGCCTGATGAGTGTTATTAGGCCTTACTTACTTGAGCATGGGAACATATGGTATAACCAAGGTCAGTTTAGCACATGGACTGGGACATAGAATGAACCATCGTGTTGGTCGTTGAGCTTGCCCTGCGAACAGTGCTGTTGAAGTTGTGCATCGTCGACGTGGGCTCCAGTGGGTTGTAGACCCTGACGGTTGGGATACAGCAGAACAAATACTTATTGTAAAACTTTCTGAACTGGCTGCTCAGGAAGTAAAGAGCTAGGGGGTTAACACAGGAATTCACAAAAGTCAAACAGAAGCCAAAGATTTGGAATCCGTACCAGAAGTCGTTGTACTCACCATACTCGTCATAGAAGAACCAGAGGATATATATATGACGAGGCAGCCAACATATGAGGAATATAAACACAAAGGACAAGACTACTTTCGCCACCTTCTTCCTTGCAGCTATCTGTCTTTGCTGGTTCATTGCGCTCTTGCTGCCTTCACACGGCATACTTTGTCCGCTTTGGATGAGAATATACGCCATCATAAGGTAGAAGAATCCAATGGTCACCACGGGGATGGCGAAGAATACTACGAAACGAATCAAACCCTGAGTTTTGGGATAAGCAGGATATAACGCAAGAGGGTATGGTGTACACATGTATCCGTAGTTCCCATCCTCCATTCGAAAGTCTGAAGTGCTAGAGAAGATCCAATCCGGGATTGCAAGAAGGAACGACGATGCCCAGATGACCCCTACCACTGTCATAGCCTTGCCAATTGTCTTCCCTGTTATTTTACTCATTGGGTCCACGATGGCCATGTATCTGTCAGCGCTCAGTGCAATGAGGGTGAACACTGACACCCCTAGGGACATGGTCTGCATGTAGAAATTAAACTTACAGATTGTTTCCCCGTACGGCCATGACTTTAATGTATATATTGTTGCAGAAAATGGAACTGACACCAAGATAAGAAGCAAATCTCCCAATGATAAACTGACAATGAGAATGTTTGGGACATTTCTCATGACCTTGTTCCGAGCAACCGTAAAAATTACTGTGCCATTTCCGATCACTCCAACGATGAAAATAATCCCAAATAGTATCGGAACCAGGATTGCTATTGGACCATGTGAAATACCTTGTACGAAAACCTTCTCCATTGTACAGTTTTCAGTAATATTAGCCGACTGGTTACACTTCACCATTTCGACAGGGTCTGAAACGTTTGTTGTGTTAAGTAACCCTGAGGCCATGCTGTCACCAGCTGATTGATCCGACGGCATACCGAGGGGTTTCTTTCACACAAACCAAATGGAACTATGAAACAAGAACACCACGGTGCCCTGGGGCCGGTTTCAACAGTCAACTTACTTCTCAAACATGTCTCACCTGTAGCATCACTCGACGCCAGTCTCGGATAAATCCAAACCACGTGGCCACCACCGACCGTGTCTGTTTATATACCAATCAATGTATGACGTTATCAATTCCACATAAGCCACACACAGAAGGTGATCCAATGACCAGCATCAATATAGGACAGCGCAACACTCGTTTGCTGTGTCGATGACAGTGAGATGCTAATTTCTAGACCTACTCTCCCCGCCTTTCCGTTTTTATCCTCCCATCTAGCGCTTATTGGCTGACTTGGCGGTTGCGTGCGGGACAAGAGCGGCGAGGTTAAGCGTCAGGATGTGATAGGACACTCGCTAAAGTATTATGATTGGCGTCAAGGGGAGTCTGCGGCAGGTATGAATATGTCAAATGAAAGCGTTTCAATTTTACGCCGAATTGATGAATTTACACTCATACACAAACACATTCTTCTTACCGCGACGGGCCCTGCGGTTTTGTGTAAATTGATTTCCAAATCTCTTTCTGGAACACTAGTTCACTTAATAGTTTCTACATGACCTGGTGTTTAGCTGATAAATTTGAGGCATAATCAAGCCAGGACGAGAATGTTCGATCTGTATAAATTTGCATCGGGTTTCCACTGTAGTCTGAATACACACAACGCGCCTGACTCACAAGCAACTCATTACAGGCCTGCTGTACTGGCGGAGAAGACAACACCAGTTTTCCGACTTGTGGAAGGCATACGCGCTATTGCTTAACAGCATGAATACCGTACGGCAGGCCCTGTAACAGAATGTCGACCCCGCTCCGCTGCATTTCACGTCAGTGAGAGCAGATACCGACATAAACCAGAAGTCCCTGCAAACTACATGTACGTGCGGGGCAACCAGAGGTGATTAAGTACCATCACACAACATTTCTTAATGTTGTTAAGGGCGCTTTGATGCTCACAGAACGGAAATCTCAATATGTTCTGCACTGTTGTGATTCTACGTTTTGAACATAACCATTGTAACATAAGGAATAAATGTTAAGTGGACATATTACATCGTTTTAAATAATACAATTTAGATTAATTGTTTTTTATGCTTTAGAAGGTTAATGAATAATATCTCTGTGGACTTACAACTGCTCAAAACCGACGATGTTTTCATTATTCAGACTTTGTACGTGAAGATGCCGCTGTAAGCAATATGTTTGTAATTATTTTGTTTTTCCAGACTTTTTATGGACGCCCCTAAGTAATGTTCTGTCTGTTTTTTGCCTACCAGCACAACGAAGCTTACTATGTTACAAGGCAAATACACACGTAAAAACACGAGCGTATTGTCATATGGGACTACATCATCCATCTTTTTTTCAGTATCCCCGGGTACGATGAAACACAAATGCATCCAGGTCGTGACTGAGGGCAGATGTTTCTGGTTAAAGATCTGAAAACAGCGAGTCACCATTTAACGTCGCATCTGCATAATGCGGCATCGGCACGTGTACAGTCATTGTGAATCCATGTCTGTGTTGCAATAAGGTCCCCTTGCCTTCCATTCATTTTATTAATTTCACATCAGCGTATTATCTTTTATGTTCGCCGACCTCCGTGGATAGAGCATCTGCTCAGATTTTCCATCCTCGGTCACGTCTGGCAAAAGACGTTACTTTTGTTACCCTGCCTCTCTCTCTCTCTCTCTCTCTCTCTCTCTCTCTCTCTCTCTCTCTCTCTCTCTCTCTCTCTCACACACACACACACACACACACACACACACACACAAACACACACACACACACACACACACTAATATCAAGCTGACGCGCGGTGATATGACTCGAATACTGATAAATACGGCGTCCCACTAACTCACTCACTCGGGGGCACGGGTGGCCCAGTCGTCTAAGGCGCCGCAATTCGCTGTACAGAGTTGCGTCCCTTGGGCACGCCAGAAACCTATGATTGTGGGTTTGAATCCCGGCTCGCCCCGATTATGTTTCTAGGTTTGTCAGCAACGTGCCCGTGCCCGTGCCCGTGGTAAACGTCTGAGACCTGCATCCCTTCGGGATTTCCTCCCACAGTAAACTGACACGCCGGGATATAACTGTAATACTGTTAAAAACGGCATTAAACTCACTCACTCACTCACTCACTCACCCATTCACTCACTCACTTACTGACTCACGATTGTGACATTCGAACCGAATCAGATGTGGATTAAACACCGACTTATCAAACACCACTTATAAAGGATGTTCTCCATGTAAAGATTAAGAATTATTTTGCGTCAATGAGGCAGACAAAGTATACTTAATTCATGGAAAATATATGTGTCTCTGAGCACTTTATGATACATGATGTGATGTTAGTTATTTTTCAGATCCCGTTATAATCATGGTTCATGTATCTGTGTCTACAAACCTACTCAGTCACATGAAAAACATCACTTTGACATGAAATACGCCAGTGACGATCGACTGAGGTGATGTGTCATAGGTTTCTTGGACATGTTTATGACACAAGGCCATTACGAAATTATTCAGCTAACGAAGTGAATTTTGAAAATTGCTAGACTAGAAGCTGGTGAATTAGATGAATTAGTCGTAAGGCATTTCAACGTATGCCGACGTTGGGCCGATACCGGCAACATGGCACCAACAGAGACCGTCCCGCATCACCACAGTAGCCAAGGATCTCTACATACGGCGCCTTGACCTTCGACACAAGGCACTCACTGCAACATGCACATCAGTTACACGGCAACGTGTACTGTAAAGTACATTGCAACACCAATGCTTTGTTTCCGTCCAACATCTGCACTGTCCGTAACCGTTTATGACTTATGTTTCTATTTTATGAATCTAGATACTTCTTAAAATAATTACTAATTGCCAGTCATCGCATATGCCGGTAACGATGGACTACATGTTTAAGCACACAGATACCTGTCTTTATTATGCCTCAAAGTGAGATTGACCAATCAGAGAGCAGAACTACCAACCCTATATGAGCCCGTATACCGTCAGTACAAATCCAAGAAGGTTGTTACTGACCTCATATTTTTGGATTTTCTAACACCCACCTCACATATTTAACATAGAAGTTCTGGTACAGAAACTCGTTATTTCACACATTCGATGGTGTCCCAAACAAAAAACGTGACGCCAATGACGTCACACAGCAAAAGAATAGATAGCCGCACGTTCGTTAGGAAAAAGCAAACTGATATCCAGTTACAGTGCTGCTCTGAAAACACGCCGGCATTTTTATGATATTTCTATTAAATTCATCTGTATTACTTGTTTAAACGTTCACATTTAGTGCATTTCATATTCCATTGTTAACGTTTGTGTTTACATTAAAACGTCGTATCCGAAACATATGTACTGGTCCTGTCTTTCATACCGGTTGTAAGTGTCAAGATTTCATTTTGACATGACGTGCGACAACGATTCCAAATAGTGTAAAATGTCGGCATAATAAATTCTTTATGGTGTCTTTAGTTGCTGTATACGGTGTCATATTAGGTTAACATAAACATACGACAACTAAAGATACTATAACTAATACTATCACAGTTAATACCATGTCATCGTGAACATAACGACAAACGACGTCGACGCGACCATTTTGTTACACCACCGCGTCCTCGTGAAGACCCAACTCTTTAACCAAAGGCTTTTTAACATACCATCTTTAAATCGATCACATAAATATACAATAACATACAAAACACATTATTTTGGAAAAGCACATGCACTAACACAATTTATCAATCCAAATGTTGTTGTGCAGGCCGCCCACAAGGAGAGAAAAAAGTGTTTTATTTCTTAGCCATCGGTCAGAATGCCTGACATCTTGTTTTATATTTTAGACGAGATTCTTCATAATTCCTCCCCCGAAGCAGCTGCCACGCACTACACGAAGCGGAAGGGGGTGGGGTGGGGTGGGGGGTGGGGGGTGGTGGTGGTTTAAAACAACAGTCTGACGCACTGGAAACGCCCAACGGTTCTGGAGAATGTTCAATCTAGTCAACGAGTCTTCTCAACAGGTATATCAATGAGTCGGCATAAATGATAGTGGTCGGTTGCCATGTTCATATTGAGTACGAGCTGTAGTGCAAAGTGTCAAGGATGATTTGATATTTGTTTTTGTCAGTAGAGTATAGGGTTGAGCGTCTTTCTTTGTCGTTGCAGCAAAGATTCTATACATCGCTGTGTCTGACAACCTACCACCGTGGTTATACATTGGCTGCATCCCACACATGGCATGGCAACAGATCGATATACATACCGCCGTCTCGACATTGTTGTGTATAACAATTATGTAGCAATTATTATAGATCTACAACTGAACAGAGGGCTTACAGCACGTCTGTCAAGAACACTATAATTAACCATACCAGCGGTTTCCCTACTTGTTCATCCACTCGACCCCTCAATCCCCGGCCATCACCCCTTCTTCACCACAGCCTCATCCGCCTACCCCTTCTTCACGAGCCAATCAACCCTTGACATCACCCCTTCTTCACAGCCACCCCCTCCGATCCCCCCTTCTCTACCACCACCACCCCTCCCGTCCCCTTACCATCCCCCCTTCTCTACCACCACCACCCCCTCCCATCCCCTTACCATCACCCCTTCTTCACAGCCAACCCCTCCGATCCCCCCTTCTCTACCACCACTACCCCTTCCGTCCCCTTACCATCACCCCTTCTCTACCACCACCACCCCCTCCCATCCTCTTACCATCACCCCTTCTCTACCACCACCACCCATCCCGTCCCCTTACCACCCCCCTACAATCCCATCCCCTGAATATCACCAGTTCTCTACCACCACCCCCCCCCCTCCCGACCCCTTACCATCACCCCTTCTCTACCACCACCACCCCCTCCCATCCCCCTCCATTCCCATCCCCTTACTATCACCAGTTCCCTACCACCCCCACCCATCCCCTTACCATCATCCCGACTCTACCACCACCACCCCCTCCCATCCCTTTACCATCACCCCTTCTCTACCGCCACCACCCCTCCCGTCCCCTTACCATCCCTC